TTATATAGTTTATGATTAACTACTAAACATCCTAACTGCTGTTAGTCTCATGCTAATTTTCACTAGGGTAAACAATCAACATAGCCATTTCAATTCGATGATAACAAACTAAAACATATCATAATATCTATCTATTGCCTATTTTAGTGTTTGCGAATTCAACACCCAACAATGCGCAATCTGGGTCAACCTTGCCATATTGAAAAGTCCTTCTACCTTTTTTCATGAGGTTATCTAAAGTGAGAATCCTTTCTTTGGCAGCTTCCCATGTGAAAAAAGAGACCCAAGGAGGGGCACTACTGTTCCAGATCAATTTTGTACGGAAATCCAGACAGCTTATTCTATTGTGTGGGGTCAGATAATGATAGAAGGATTTGACCGAGAATATACCATTATTCCCGATTGTCCAGTGAAGTTTGTCATCGTTATCAGTGAGCTTAATTGCTGATAAGAGAGTTAATAAGCTTTCATATTCGTCGATTTCCCAATCCTTCAAATTCCTAGAAACCGCGATGTTCCAGCCACCGCCATTAACACTGTGTAAAGAAGATGCCGAGTCCTGTAATCACCTCTTACTACATTGTCCTTTCTCCTGTCAACTTTGGTCCATGGTTTTGGGGTTACTTGGCATCAGCTGGAGTACTGCAGGCTCAATACAAAGAGAACTAAAAGCTTGGGAATTTTTATGCAAATGAAATTTTCTAGGATGGTTGAGCAGATGAAAAAGAAGTTGAGATGAGTTTATTGGATCGGAATTGGGAAAAGAGGCAACTTGTCAAGTTGGACCTAACTAATTAATCGGTCATTAATAGAGGAGGTGGATATGGAAGTAAGGGTCTAGAGTGCTATAGATTCAGGAAGGTTAATACAAATTCTTCCATCGGCTGGAACCATAGACAAAATTATAGGTCCAATTTGATTATGATGGGGCAGACTATGATGTGGAGAATAATCTGGAAAAGTTTGTTGGAGAATTCTAGAACTATCAGAATTCTACTTAGCTGTACGCTGATCCTTGGAACGGAAATTAGACGGCATCGTGTTTGATTCCCTTGCATCTGATGATGTTGTTTGTTTGGAGAGAGCTTTCATCAAAGAAGAAGTTTAGGTTGCAAAAAGCCAATGCAACAATTAGGCCCCAGGTCCTGCATAATTTGGAGGTTGTTCATAGAGACATTTTATGCCTTTTTGAGGAATTTCACGAGGCTGGCTAGTTGTAGCTTCTTTAACTCTATTTTTCTTGTGCTAATACGCAAGGATGACAATGCAATGAACATTAAAAATTTCAGGCTTATTAATTTGGTAAGTAGTGTTTAAAAATTGATTGGTAAAGTTCCTGCCATCAAACTCAGCAGTGAGATCGAAAAACTGGTTGGTGAAGCACAACATGTTAATGGGTGATGGGTAGATTCTGGTGCTTTTTTTATTGCAAACAAGGTGGTTAACCTAGTCTTACAATCTGGGGAAGTTTTATGTACAAGGTGGATATGGGGAGCTTAAGATCTTGTGTTATGGTCTTTTCTCATTTATATGTTAAAGAGATGGAGTTTGGGGAAAAATCGTTAACTGAATCCATCCTTGCATATCCTGTAGTTCTTTCGTAGTCTTGATTAATGGAGGGCCGATCCACTTTTTCACCTCCTTGGGAGGCCTTCAGTAAGGTGACCTCGTTGTCGTTGTTTTTTATCTTGATTATGGAAGCATTTAATGAGATGACCTACAATCCAAAGAAAATGGTTTGGTTCCAGAGTTTCTCTATTGCGAGGGATGAGAGACATGTGGAGATGGTTCATTTGTTGTTTGTCAATGACCATTTTGTTTTGTAGGCTATACAACGACCAGTTACTATATCTAAGATGCATCTTGTTATGCTTAGAGGCAGTATTTGGCCTGTGAGTCAACCTTGATAAACTGGAGATGTTAGACTTTGGGGATGTGGTATAATTGACTATGTTACTATTCTTGGGTGCAAATGTCTAAACTTTCATGTGAAATGCTCGGATTTTCCTTTGGGTGCTAGATTTAAGAGTACTAGTAGTTTGCAGCCTGTGACCTTAAAAGATGAAGTGGATGTTGCGAAATCACTCAAGTCATTCACATTGATTAAAGTAAAAGTGATATAAAACATAACTTGTTTCGCCAATGTGCCTCCACTATGGAACCACCTGCGGAATTTTTCTATATGAATAATTACCTTTTATTATTAAGGTTTTTCCTATATGTAGAAAAAAGGAGAAAAACTGTTTTTACAAGAATGCTCCCTATAATAAAGAAAAAACTGCCTTAGGTCCAAAAGTAGTGTGAATAATAAACATTCAAATAAGCCACAACTCAACAAAAGGAGGGTAGCTAGTTGGACAGGGACCCAATCTGGATGCTGGGAGTCTAACTTTAAATATAAGCACTCTATCCAATTTGTCAGTATACTCTCTTGCCTTTTTTCCTATCTCCACCACTATTCCTTAGAATATCTCCAATTTTTTTTTTTTGTGAGATATTCAAAAGACCAAGAGGAAGACGGTTGCCATTAAATCCTTTTGACTGAGATGAATACTTCCCCTTTAATCAAATTGTTTTGGAAGTTCATGACTTGCAAGAGTCATCTTTGGTGGGAGGTGATATAGGCAGAGTGTGGTACTAAAGAAGGTGGGGCGGGGGGAGTGGTTTGGGTGGAGAATACGAAGAGACATATTGCCTTACCAGTTTATGGAGGTGGATAACCAGGAACTAGAGACATCTCATGTAGCATGTTGCTTTCAAGGTGGGAAATGGTCAATCTGTGGGTTTTTGGGATGATAGTTGGTACAATGGGTGTCCACTTCGAACCCATTACCCAAATGTCTATTTCTTGGCTAGAGACAAAGAAGCAACAATTAGTGAGGTAGAGGTGATTGACTATGCTGGCAACACTTTGCGAAGCATCCATTGAATAGAAATCTAAATAATTGGGAAATGAATGACTACCTTGAGTTAATGGCTTTTTCCTCAAATTGTTGTGTGGATGTACCCTACTCGAGAAGATTGCCCAGTCAGGTCATTTCCAAAGACAGGTAGTTTTCAGTTAAATATTACTGCATCAATCAACTCTCTAAGAGTTCAATAGCCTTCAAATTTCCTTGGAAATAGATTTGGAAGAGTAAAGCACCTTCTAGTAATGTTTTCTTCACTTGGGAAGCATCTTAGAGAACTCTCATCATAGACACTCTTGGCAAGAGGAGGAAAATTATTATAAAAGGTTACCTTTGTGGCTGTAATAGTGCTAATCCACCAACTATCTCCTCCTTTGATGCTTGTAGGCTAGAAGGTTGTAGGATTCTACGTTAAGTGTTCTTATTTTTTTGAGATAAAAAGTATGAAATATATTATTAATAAGGTATCAATAGGGGATATCACTCATGTACATTTTCAAAATTCTCATCACTAATAATGTCATGATCTCACAAAATAGATTCAAAATAGTGAATCCCACGTATCTCTTCAATTTAAACATACTACTCTCAACATCTTTAAAAGCATGAGAGTTTCATTCTTTCCAAATTACCCAAAAAACAGTCAACAGGACAAGATTCTGCATTAAGTGTTCTTAATTTGTCGTCTTTGGATTGGGAGTGAATGAACTCTGGGCTTGGGGAGGGATAAAGATCTATAAAGCTAGGATAAGACTTCATATGCTTCTCCCCTTGTCTATTCTTTGGGTATTTGGAAAGAGAGGAAGAAAAAGAGTAGTTGACAGCATTAGATCTTCTCTTACATTAGAAGTAGAAATTATTGGTTCCACTCCCTGAGTTGTTTGTTGGCAAGGGAGCCAATCCTTCAAGATGAGGATTTGGGAACCTTTATAGATCTTTTGACATCTAACATTTATAAATGTATGGGGGTGGTACTCAAATAAGAGAGTTTTTGACCGGGTGGAAGAGACTATTGATAAGATTCGAGAGAGATGGTTGTGGACCCTAGGTTTTTTGGTTATAGGTTAACCGTTGTACTCCATGAAGAATTTAGGTGAATTAATTGACGTCCTTACAGACTTGTAAATAATTTTGTACATAGATTTGCACCCCGTTGGTGTCTATACTTAATGACACGTTTTATGCTTGTTATTTCAAACAAAAAAAAAAAGTATTTGTGTGGTACCCATTTGGTGCCTTTTGATCTTGTTCACTTTTTCTCTCCAAAAAAAAGGAGGGGTAACCTGTAAAGCAACAAAAATAAGGTCTGAGCCACGGTCAGTAAGACTAGCAAATCAGAATTGAAGCCCTCAGAAACCTCCTTTTTCATGCCTACCTAAAGGATCAAGAAGGTAACAGGAAGAATAAAATTTAGTAAATCAGTTTCTGCTCCTGAGACTGCAGATGCCTTCCCACATCAACTCCTCCAAAATGATCGAAATCCCACTTGAGGCCCAATGAACTGAGTGCTGAATCCCTTACCTTTCTCTCCTCTGGACAGCATAAAAGAAGATGGTTAAGGGATCATTCTCACAGCACAACAGACCTCGGTTTTTAGGAAAGAAACAGAAGCTTTATATTTATGAAAAGAGACGGAACATTGTTCAAGCCCTCTCTGGTTCAGTGTCAAGACACTCTTTGCCATAGAAGTGCCTAAGGGGAGTCAAACTCCTGACAATTACAGTGCCTCTGCCATTAAGCCATAGAGCGCCTGGGTAGTTTCTTATTTCTTTTCTTACTTTTAAAGCTTCTGTTTCTTTGTTCCTCTGAAATGTTTGTTAAAAATATCTTTAAAAAAAATTGTTTTTCTGTTTTAGTTTTCAATCTGTCTTAATGGACTATCTGATGTTCTTTTTCTTTTGTTGCCATTCTACATTATGGCAAGTTACAATTTTGTGGTGATTCTTTAGTAGAGTAGTTAATGGCTCATTATTTCTGCCTGCATGTGCTTTGTTAGATAATCCTGTATCTCTGCCTTTTTCAAATTAAACCTTCTTAAGCAACGAACTGCTATTTCAATTTAGATATAATTAATTCATGTGTTGTTTGCAGGGCTCCATCTGTTTTCAGTATCCTTCTATTATTACTTCGTGATTCTTCTAACTTCAAAATCAGAATACAAGCTGCTGCTGCTTTAGCTGTTCCAGCATCAGCAATTGGTGAGTTGTAGCAGTATTTTCCATGCAAACATGATTGATTTTTGTTGCCTTAGTGATTCACCAATTTCTCTTCTGGCCACTGGTACTTCTTTTCTACCTTTATATTGTTGAATCAATTGACTAACATATTGCGAGAACAATTTTCCCACAGCTCACACGAAAAGAGAAATCTCTATGTTTGTTTGACATTGTTGGTTTGTCTTATGCCTGTATGTTTGATGCAGCTTATGGGAAGTCCTTCTCAGATGTTGTTCAAGGTGTGGAGCATATACTTGAGAATGTAAGTTCAGACAAGGTATCTGCGCCATCAAATTTCAAATACAGGATTGCACTCGAGAAGCAGGTCAAACCCTTCATTTGTTCACTATGCACTCAGTAACATTATTTTGGTTTTTAACGTTCAGATTACATTTATTGTGAGCTTCTACTTGGCTTTCTTTCTACAGATTGGTAATGTTACATCATTTCTTTCTTATTACAGTTAACCTCAACCATGTTGCATGTTCTCAGCCTTGTTTCTAGCACAGATTACCAGCCTCTGAAAGACTTTCTTGTTAAAGTGAGTATTTCAAAATTGTGAAAACTATGCGAATAGCTCATGTCAAATCATGTCTGGCATTTATTTGGCTATCTATTAGTATCACTCTACTGAGAGGCAGCTATAACCTGCATTTTCACATTAAGTAGCTAGTCCAACCTCCAAAATCCCACCCTGTTTGCTTTTAGTCAGCCAATTGTGTGGTTTCAAAATGGAATCAGTTTAATGATGATTTTGTTGTGTGTACAATTTTGTAGGCTTAAAGTTGTGCTAATGTCTTTCTTTAGAAGTGAAAGAAGGATTAATTGAAGGGCACTAAGAGGGTGCAATCTTAATACAAAAGAATTTAAAAATATTCAAGATTCAAAACTATACAAGTCCCTTGGTGCCATCAGCAGGAGAAAAAAAAAACAGATATTCAAGATTCTGCAGTGTCCCCTAAATCTTCTGCCTTACTAAGGGGGTAGCCTTTAAACAAAAAAAAGGTGGTTTGCAACCAAACATTTTGGGATTTATAAAAAGAGTAAGAAATATCCTTGAAGACTCAATTTTTTCCTTGCAAATAACTCACAGATATTGATGCATCCTTGACTCTGTTCTTCAGTTGTTTGTAATTCTGGGAAGAACTTCTGTTGCGGGCATTTGGCTAACACAAAGTGAAAAACAACGGATTCTTTGACATAAAGTGGTTCTTTAGGTGATCTAATTGTAGTGGAACCAATTTTTTGAGCAAACTTCTTGAATAGTTGATGGAATAAGATTTAAGGATGGTCAAGGAAGAGAAATATCTTCTACATTTGTGCATGTCGATAGTCATGCATATTTTTATTAAAATAATTATGCCTGTGTATTTTTACGATTCACCCTTTATTAAGTCATAATAATTCACTATTGCTCCAGAATTTCTGAAAAACTATCGTAGCCAACGACATAGATTGCTTGAGCAAAGTGCTCTTTTAATTTGCCTGGCTTCTCTCTCTCTCTGGTACTTCAGGCAGCTTTCTAAATCAATAATTGTCTGTTTATAAATGTAGAAAGCGTCATTTCTGGAGGATTGGTTAAAGTTGCTGTGTTCATCATTGGGGAAGTCCAATATTCAACCCGGTACCATAACTAATTCTGTTGGGAGTCAGAAGAAAGAAATGATATCTGAAGCAATTAGATCGCTAGTTGAAGTATACAAGTGCAGAAATCAAAGTGTGATAGCTCAGCAATTCGAGAACCTAAAAAGCAGCATGGAGCACGAAGCAGTCATCTAGGCAACATTGTTCAGTTTGTTTCTCATAGTGTTTTCTGAGTTGGCTAACTTGGCTGCAGGTCCTCCATTTCTTCATAAAAATCTCCAGGGTGGAGGGAAGGAGGGCTAGAACTCATTGGAGCCCTTGAAGATGGTGACATCGAGGGGTAATCGAGTTAATTTAATCCATGCTACAGTTTACATCTTAGACTCTAGATGCTTGTGAATTTGAATGTGAAGTAGATAGATGGGTTGGTCCTACTCTGTAAAATTTCTTTTGTTTTATCTGTACACGTTGTATAGCTAGTATATGTGATTGGATTTTGTTGAATTCTCAAGCCGGAAGGAACCAGTATTGACTATCCTTCCACAGTTTTTACAGCTTACTTAGTAATATTACCCTTGTATTATTGTAAATCTTTTATTTAAACCCTTAAAACATTTTTTTATTCTGTTTAAGCCTCTGTATGTTTAATTTTTTTTTTTTTTTCTAAACGAACACTTAAAGCTAACTCATGTTAACTAACTACAAGTTTAGTTCTATCAATCACAGTCAAGATTAATGCAAATATTAATTATAAGGTAGAGTTTATCGTGTCTCTATCACTTTTGACTCTCTCTTTCAAAGCTGTAAAAAAGAATTAAATTTTTAATACCACAGGTGTCAATCATACCAGACATTAATGTCACTTGGGTTTGTCTCCCTTGCTTCTGTTCTAGTTATATATTTTATTATTATTTATTTAATAACTTGAATAAAAAAAAGGTACAATTACGCAGAAGCATTTGTACTATTTAATCCCAGTTTTTACGGTAGAAGTAGGTTTTACTTTTATGATCTGCCGTGTGGAGGAATTTGGAAATAGACATTATTTTTCCTCCCCCTTCCCAAGGCTACGAAAGGACAGTACGAATTTAGAAAATAGAAAGGACGCTTTTATTGCACTCTCCTTCATTGGAATTAGGGCTTAAGCTACTGCTTTTTTTTTTTTTTTTTTCAGAAGTTCATTTTTATGGAAACTTATACCTGCAGGAAATTGATTATATGGGTTCTCTACTTTCCACCCGCAACTTACATTCCTTTCTTGGAAACAAGTCTGCGTATATGCCATTTTCTTCTTCAGAAAAAAGAAAAAGGTCGAGAAGCAATACCCGAATCTGCTGAACTATTTTTTAGTTAACATCATCATTAAATATAGGATTTAATGTTTTAACCAGAAGAAGCTTACAGACACGGTTTGATTAGAAGGTGAAAATGATGTAAAGAATTCTCCAGATATAGATATGATGTTTCTTACAGATGGACGAATCTCTTCCGGTAAATCTATACAAATGAAAATATCATTTAAAGTGAAATGATATATGTATATATTCTCTGAAGGCATCACGTTTGTGAGTGGTCCGCTCAATCCCCCAAAATGTTACACGAACTGTATTAGTGAAATGGTCTCATGTATGTCGTGTAGGGTTTAATGAAGGGACGTTCATATTAATATGTAGTGACAAGAAACAAGCATCAGATTCCTTTACTTTCCTCTCTTCCAACCTTGTGGGACACAGCCTACCAGTAAATGAATGAATGCTGACATAATTACTTTTCTTTCCAAAGTGGTCAGAGCCCAAACATGGCCACCAACCTGCCCTCCTCCCTTTTCTGGCAAACACATCCAATATTGAAGTTAAACCAGTTATGTATAAAGTTTTTATTATATTATAAATTAATAATTATAAAATTATAATTTATTAATATTTTAATAATATTATAATGATTTTTTAAAATTTAATATGTAATTGTTAAAATTAATATTTGAGTTAATTATGTAAACTCAAACATCACCTAACATTCTTGTGCATTGTAAAATACATAAACATTCTTATTAAAATTCTTTATGTATTTATAGGAAACAATGTTGTCCAAGTGGTAACAAATTTTTTTTTTCTATAGATTTTCTAATTTAAGTTTCCAATTTTTAGTTTTTGAAGATTAAAATCCTAAAATACGGTTTAAAAAATTTTGATGTCCTCAAGCTTCTGGTCTCATTGTAAGAACATACCAAAAATAGACTTGCACCCTATTTATGCTGTTTCTCTCTCTCTCTCTCTCTCTATATATATATATATATATGTGTGTGTGTGTGTGTGTATTTATATATAAATGAACAAAAACAGAAGTTATAACAGTCGAAGGTAACTGTTTTTTGGGGACAACAATGGTGTCTTTAAGTGTGGATAGCTTGCATCAATTCATTTTCTTTGTAATATGAAGTTATATTATTATAATTATAAAGATTTAACTTTAGATATATGATGGAATTATAAATAAAAAAGCAGGGAAAGTTTTGTTTAAAAAAAGAAAAAGAAAAAGAAAAAAGAAAGTAGAAGGACAAGAGCAAAATAAGGCTGGTGACTCTCCTCTGAACCCTCCATTTCCAAATCCTGCCACTGTCTTCGTCCTCCTCCTTAGACCAAATCTTCTTCTCTCTCATAAAAATACCAAATCACCACTCATTCATTTTCCTTCTCTTCTTCCAAAATATCCTTTTTTTAACCGATAAAAAACAAACAAATACTCACTCTCTTACCAACTCCTGCAATGGCGGATTATTTTATTAATCTTTCCTTTTCTTCCTACTCTTTTTTCTTATCATCCTAACTTTCTCTATTCAACCTCTTTTTTTTTTTTTTTCTCCGCTCACTGTTGTTTTACCATGTCGTGTGTATGTTTCTCTTGAGTGTTAAAAGACAGAAACATAAGCTATCAGCAAGCAAAAGCTCCCCCGTTTCTTCTGCACTTTGGGAGGAGTCTTATTCGGGTATTGTTACTTTCTTCACCCAGCTGGTTAAATTATAAGGTACGTCTTCTTCTCCACTTCGTCACCTTTGAAGAAAAATCTTGCCTTTTTATCATTTCATGCATTCAGCATATATAAATGCTGGATTTTTCATCTGGGTTCCTCTACTTTTGCTGTTTTCTCCGAGTTTGTTGAGTGTAGGAAGACATAGTTACTTAAAGACATGAAGTTTTCTTCCTCAAAGTTCAGTTCTTGGAGGAAATTTATAAGTTATTGTATGTCTTACATGATGGTTCGAGACCTTGATTTCTTGTTCTCTGTTTTCTGGAAACGTGTCGAGAAATGTGGGAAGTTTTCTATATGGATTACCCAGATATTTTCATTTGGATTCCCCTGCTTTTGCTGTTGCTCATGAGTGTTTGGAGAACAAAAATCTTAAAAAGAGAAGAAGATTTCCCTTGCAAAGTTCATTTCTGGGAAGAAATTTCTGTTTGAGTTGTGTGTTTGATAAGAGGATTGCAGACCTTGTTCTCTTTTTTCTGTACTCTTGAAATGTCTGAAGAAATGTGTGAATTTTTCATCTGGTTCCCCTGCTGGAAAACTGTCCAAAAATCATTTCTTCGAAGAAATTTACTTATATAATTAATATGAGGATTGAAGACCCTGTTCTCTTCTCTGTGTTTTCTTCTAATACCTGAAGAAATATGGAGAAATTCTCATCTGGGTTCCCCTGATTTTTCTTCTTTTCTCATTTAAATAAGTGGTTTGTAACAGTAACATTTCCTGCAACATGTTAAGTTACTTAAATGCTTGATATGAGGAGTGGGTGGGAGGAGAGTGGAAAAATTTTCTGAAGAAAACATGAGAATTTTCTATCAGTCAAGCTTGTTCTCATTTCTCATCTAATAATCTCTCGACTTATTCATCAAACTTTATGCATTCCAGATGGGCAAGGAGCGCAGTGGATCACCAAAGCAACATCATCAGCTCGAATCAAAGCGAAAGCGCCTAACTTGGATCCTTGGCGTGAGCGGACTCTGCATCCTGTTTTACATTCTAGGCGCATGGCAGAACAACTCAGTCCGCTCCACCCCTCAATCTGAGGTCTATACCCGAGTTGGCTGCGATCCCAACTCGACCCCAATTCCAACTCAATCCTCCGCAGAAACAGTCACATTGGACTTCAACAGCCATCACCAGGTCGAGGTCAACAATTCTGCAAAAGACTCAGTCCAACTCCCCCCATGTGACATGTCCTTCAGTGAATACACTCCTTGTCAGGACAAGCAGAGAGGGAGGAAATTTGACAGGGAGATGTTGAAGTACAGAGAGCGGCATTGTCCTGGAAAAGATGAGCTTCATCTCTGTCTCATTCCTGCTCCGCCTAAGTATAAAACTCCTTTTAAATGGCCTCAGAGCAGAGATTATGCATGGTATGATAATATTCCCCATAATGAGCTTAGCATTGAGAAGGCTGTTCAGAACTGGATTCAGGTTGAGGGTGACCGGTTTAGATTCCCGGGAGGAGGCACCATGTTCCCTCGTGGAGCTGATGCTTATATCGATGATATTGGCATGCTCATTCCTCTTACTTCTGGAAAAATCAGAACTGCCATTGATACCGGCTGTGGTGTAAGTGAACTTCTCATACATAGTCTCTTCTCAATTACTCTCTCAAGTTTAATACTTGCTACAAATTTGGTTGTTAGCTCTTGTTAGTTACAATTTGACCTCTAAAGTATTTATTTGCTTCAATCGCTCTGATTCTTTTTATTTTCTAACAACGGAAAAAACTAAAATAATTATGTCATGTTTGAATGTTCTAAAAAACCCTCACCTCTTATGCTCATAAGCCTAATCACATGTTGAACTCCATTTGGCTGGTTCAGGTTGCAAGCTGGGGAGCGTACCTACTGAAGAGAGACATCCTGGCTATGTCTTTTGCACCAAGAGACACGCACGAAGCACAGGTCCAATTTGCATTGGAACGAGGAGTTCCTGCCATGATTGGTATCATGGGTTCGCAGAGGCTTCCTTACCCAGCAAGGGCCTTTGATATGGCTCACTGTTCACGTTGTTTGATACCTTGGAAGAACTATGGTAAGGTGCCAATGAATGTTATTGGAATCTTTATTCTATTGGCATTTATCAAGATTTATGTTTTACTTCTTTGCAGATGGGATGTATCTAATTGAAGTGGATAGAATCCTAAGGCCGGGCGGCTACTGGATCCTTTCTGGCCCTCCAATTCACTGGAAGAAGTACTGGAGAGGATGGGAAAGAACCCAGGAAGATTTAAAGCAAGAACAGGATGCCATTGAGGAGGTAGCCAAGAGTTTGTGCTGGAAGAAAGTGATAGAAAAAGAGGATCTAGCAATTTGGCAGAAGCCTATGAATCACAAGGAATGCATTAAGAGCAAGGAGGTTTATGGGAAACCTCCTATCTGCAACTCAGGCAATCCAGATTATGCTTGGTACTTTTCTCTTCATGTCTTTCATTCTAACATTTGGTCTCTGGACAATTAATCGAGTCAGATTTTTCAAAAGTTTAAACAAATAGGAATTGACACAATCTATCATGTATAACTTAACTAATCTCCTTGCATTCAAGTTTGATAGACTGAATTCAGAGATCCAGCAAAAAATGTTAGAACTAAAGAAAAGTAACAATAAGAATAAACTCAGGCGAGAGGAGAAGATAATTATATATTGATGTGAATTTTTCAGTCAATCAATCAAACTTTTTTAGGTAAATTACATCAAAAAGATAGATGAATCTTTATTTATCCCCATCTTAAATGATAATTATAATCTTTATAAATGAAATCCATCATTTCTTTTCTTCCTAATTGATAGATTAAATTTTTATAGAACATTCATTACTTTTCAGTTTCTTAAATAATATATAATTTAAATAAATTAAAATTTTAAGAAAAGATAAATATTTAATTTATTTAACAAAAAAAACAATGACCCATGGTGCTGAAATTAACTAGCAGAAGTTGATAGTTGCCAGGATTTCAGTACTAAAATTTTTTTAACTCTGATACTATGTGAAGAACTTTCTGAAAGAATCTATTACAAGTAATAGAAAGAAATGGAAAAAAATTGTACTTGACTCATCTTTTGCTTGTGATTATGTATGATTGAAAGGTACAAAGACATGGAAACCTGCATAACTCCAATGCCAGAGGTAAGCAACTCAGGGGAAGTGGCTGGTGGCGCGGTGGAGAAATGGCCTGAACGAGCGTTTGCTCTTCCCCCGAGAATTGCCTGGGGCACCATAACAGGCGTCACCTCGGATAGTTTCCGGGAGGACAATGAAGTATGGAAGGAGAGGGTGACCCATTACAAAAGGATCATTGCTCCTTTAGTACAAGGAAGATATAGGAACATAATGGACATGAATGCTTACCTAGGAGGATTTGCTGCAGCCATGTTGAAATATCCTGTTTGGATTATGAACGTAGTCCCTACAAATTCAGAAAAAGACACTCTTGGTGCCATTTATGAAAGAGGTCTTATTGGAACATACCAGGACTGGTGTGAGGCATTCTCAACTTACCCAAGAACTTATGATCTCATTCATGCAAGTGGAGTCTTCAGTTTTTATCAGGACAGGTATATATAACTTCACCCGCTATATTTACATGTAACAAAATAAAAAATATATCAATACCCATTTTACTATCTTCAAATATCCGATGGGGGATCTAGTAGCTGATTCTTTGTTTGATTGGTATACGTAAAAGGTGTGACATGACCTACATCTTGCTAGAGATGGATAGAATTCTGAGGCCAGAAGGGACAGTGATATTCAGAGACACTGTGGATGTTCTGGTAAAGATTCAAAGCAAAACCAATGGAATGAGGTGGAAGAGCCAGATTATGGACCATGAGAGTGGACCATTTAATCCAGAGAAAATTCTTCTTGCTGTTAAAACTTACTGGACTGGTGCAGAAACTACAGAAAAGCAAAGCTAGTATACATACCATATATATATATAACATTTTCTGCTTTCACTTTTCTGATTTTCTTTCTTTTTTTTTTTTTTTTCCTTTCCCTTTTTCTCTTTTGGGAGAGGCAATGTGAGGGTCTTTTTTTTTTCCACTGTTTACTTCTCCTTTCAAGTTGGGAAGAAAGGTAGGTTATGTTTCTGATTGAAAACATGTTGTAGCATTTTTGTTATTAAAATAATTAAAGAATTCCATACCAGATAAGAAACAAAAAAAAAGAAATCAATTTTCCTCATAAACCAGAAAAGAAAAAAGCTACCACGTCCTGTATTAATATAATTAATTTTTTATTTTTATTTACAAAATAATATTAAATTTATTTAAATTTTAAAAATTAAAAAATCTGGGTTAAACTATAAGATATGTATGTATATGTCGTTTTGCGCGGGGAAGAAGGGGAGGATGGCAGAGTCAGAGATTGACAAAGACGTTGACGTCCCGGCGGGCTGTGCGAGTGAGAGAGTGAGAGAGAGATTCATGTTAAAACAGAGAGAAGCGCGGGGGGTTGAGGAAAAAAAAAAAAAAAAAAAAAGATTGTCCGCCACGTGGAGGAATCCGATTGGTTCGGTTTGGTTGTTGACCAGCTTGCTTTCTTTGGAAATTTGTGGGATTTGACTATCGAACATGATTTGACACCAAAGAGAAAAATGTCGTCGTTTCATCCAACTAATTTTCTAATCTTTATATTATCAAAAAGAAAAAATAATTATTCAATTTTTTTAATTTGATTTAATATTTTCATTTGAAGACTATCCAATAATAGAGAAATTATTTTCAACATATTTATTTAAAATCATATTTAAAAAAAATTAAAAATATAATGTCGAATTTTAACTAACTATCTCAACTAAAAAATCTTAACCGCAACAAAATATTAAATTAATTAAAAATAAATTTTTTTATAATTACTTTCTCAATTGTATAAGTTATAAATGTGAACTTTTAATTCGCTTAGATTTAAAGATAATAAAATTTTGCCTTAAATTTTATTCATATGGTTTCAATTGCCAAAATTTTTAATGATTTTCTCTTTTTCTTTTTTTAGTCATTCAAAAATTTTATATAACGGTTCATAACTTAAAAGGAAATAAAATTATTAAATGAATGTGAAAGCGAAATAATAAAGTTATGGTTTATATTACTTACACAATAATTTAGAATAGCCAATAGAGATACGGGAATGACTCTTCTAAAAGAATAACGAAAAATTAAAGAAATAAATAGAAAGTAAATAATTTGGCATTTTATTCGCAACCCTCTTATGGATCGGGATCTGGATCTTAGTTCTCTCGATCTGAAATATTTAATGAAATAGTGAAGTACACTAATCCAGTAAAAATATCACACTACTCACTGATACAGAAATGAAAGTTGTTAAAAATCATCAAAATAACTAATGGATCTCTTAAATTAAATAAATTCATTTATCTTAAATAAAATCATTTATTGCATACTTACCATAACAAGATTTTTAAAAATCGACTTATAGAGGTAATAACACAAACAACATCATAATTAACCAGAACAACAATTTTCTCTTTTTTATCTACCTACTAGTATCCATAGAGGTCTATATGGATGTCTCTACTATGTATGAACCCTTATTCAACATTGTCAACTAACTGGTCATCCTCATACCCCGTCTGGTATGGTGTCAAAGATACCATCCCTCAATATCTCGTCTGATATGATGGTGAAATGGACCGTCCCCATACCCCGTCCGATATGAGCGCCAAAACACCAATCCTCGATATCCCACGGTATGAGGCAACATTCACAGTAGGATTCTCTATGTACCTGGTCCGTCCACCATCTCTCATGATATTCAGTAAGGTTACCACTCATTCATTCACTTAATCAACCAATTCTCTGTTTACATTTAATTTCCAATTCTACAATTTAACTGTAAATCACGCAAAACAAGCAATACATATATTAAGAAAACACAATTGAATCATCTTACCAACTTCAATGTATTATTATGCATTTAAAACTATAAAATCAATCAATCAGTTAAAACATGATAAATAGTGATAAATAATCAGTTCTGCCACCATTAGTAACCTGTAATTAATTATCGAAGTTTTCTAAATTACGCAAAATACTGTATTATTTATAATTAGACTTCAATTCCATAACAGAAAATAGGGTAAGAGATTCTTACCCAAATCGGTGTCCGAAATACTAAACTCTCAGCTGCATTTATTGGTGGTATTCGGGTTCTCTAAATTTTTTTTAGAGATTAAAACATGCTTCCAGTACCTAAAAATACCTTAAAAATTCAAAATCGGTGTTAAAAACCTTTTTTCAGTCAATTTTAAAATTTCGGCACTGCGACACCGTCGTGCTCCAGTGACGACACTACCGTCCGCAGCGGCAGTTTGCCGCAAAATGACCATTTTCGGCTAGTTTTGACCAATTTTGACCAATTTTATGCTCATCCCTGCAAAAACACACATTAAGGGGACTCGGTTGGCTAAAAAAATAGAAAAATAAAAACTTACCGACAATGAGGTTTTTCGGTGCGGTGGCTCCGCCGGCTCACCTTCGTTGTTAGGCCTTTTTTTTTGTCAACCTGTGGAAAACAGAATGGTGAATATAATTGTGAAAAAATCATACGAAATGAGAATCGGACAGGGCCTCATCGGAGGCAGTTTTTAGTTTTTTTCGCGGTGGTGCCACCAGTCTTTATCCGTGGTTTCTGGCTCATCTACCGATTTTTTTACTCTCGATTTGGCCATGAAGGTGTTCAAAATCAAATTTCGAGCAAATAAAATTTTTTTTACCTTTTTTGGTAGTC